CCCGTTCCTGATGTCAAAGGGTATGTCTACACTAGCCCCCTAGTTCGAACTAGGGTGGCTAATGTAGGCATTCGAAGTTGCAAATGAAGCTCGGGAGTTAAATATCCCGGGCTTCATTTGCATCTTCCCGGGCGCCGCCATTTTTAAAAGTCCCTTAGTCCGAACTCCGTGCCCACGGCTACACGCGGCACAGAGTAGGTAGTTCGACTGCCCAAACAAAAGGCAAGGTCTTTTGGACTATCTTACATGGTAATTACACCTCTTTAGGTCATGCCCCTTTGCACCAAATTCCCTCCAATCATTATTTGTCCCCTCACAGTCCCTTTTCAGGCCTTACAACAGGTTCAAACCAGTTTCACCGATCCCCTCCTTTTGTATACCTGTCCCACTGGATCAGATGAAACCACATTGTGGCTCACTTAATGCCCTCGACCTGCACATGCTGGTACCGGGTTAGAGGGCAGTGTGCCCAACAGAGAGTATGAAAACCTGCTCCTATGGGGGAGTCTCTGAAGACATCAATCTCTAGGGCTGAATTCCCACTGGATCAGATGAAACCACATTGTGGCTCACTTAATGCCCTCGACCTGCACATGCTGGTACCGGGTTAGAGGGCAGTGTGCCCAACAGAGAGTATGAAAACCTGCTCCTATGGGGGAGTCTCTGAAGACATCAATCTCTAGGGCTGAATTCCCCTATGCCCATGGAAAGCCATTGCACCACTGAAGGCCCCAGCTAAGAGCTGATGGGTACATACTGGGCCCCATGCAGGTCCTCTGCCCTGAGGTGAACATTCCCTTGGATGTGGAAAGCAGTAACCTGGGCCCATCTTGGCCTAGGGCAGATGACTCCCTTCAAGCGTCACTCCCCTCTGGGACAAGGTAACGATGCTGAAAGCCCCATGGCCCAACACTGCAGCATCCCAGTGCCTCATCAGGGTGCCATGCCTCACGCTGAGCTGGTGTTGCCATGGGAGCATGCAGCAGCAGGGCCATACGACAT